CCATTCCCTATCCAGCAATACCGGGTGAGGCACGGCATCAGGCTTCAGAAAAGCCAGGAAATCCCAAGAGGGCAGAGGGGAGGTCGTTCCACCACGGTCGGTTTGTGTCTCGATTGCGCGCTACAGCAATGTCACATCCAAACATCACGGTCTTCGAGACCGAGGCTACTTCACTCATAGCGTCCTCTCATACCGCTGAAATTCTCGGAGTCGAATCTGTCACTCAGAAAACACACAAGGACTTCTTCTTTGGGTCGTTGACCGTCATCTGCGACGGATATGCCTCCAAATTCCGGAGGTCGTACATTTCTCACACCCCCAAGGTCAAGTCAAAATTTTGGGGCCTGGAACTTATTGATTGTCCTCTCCCGATCCCGCAACACGGAACGGTCGTCTTGGGTGACAATCCCCCCGTACTGCTGTATCAGATCGGCACCCATGAGACTCGAGCACTGGTGGATATTCCTGACGGGTTAGCATCCACATCAACGGCCAACGGTGGCGTCAAAGGCCATCTCCGGAAGGTTGTGCTCCCGGCTCTACCGGCTGTGGTGCAACCATCGTTTCAGGCTGCTTTGGAGGAAGGCAATCTTCGAAGCATGCCCAATTCCTTTCTCCCACCGACAACCAACACAACTCCAGGCCTAGCCATCCTCGGAGATGCCATGAACATGCGCCATCCCTTGACCGGAGGCGGTATGACAGTCGCTTTGAGTGACGTCGTCTTGCTCTCCGAGTTACTCTCCCCAATCAAAGTCCCAGATCTCGCAGATACCAAGCTTGTGCTCAGGCAGTTCCGCGCTTTTCACTGGCGACGCAAGAACCTAAGCTCCGTGATCAACATCCTCGCTCAAGCGCTGTACTCGCTGTTCGCCGCCGATGACTGGCAACTCAAGTACCTTCAACGGGGCTGTTTTCGATACTTTCAACGGGGCGGCAAATGCATTGACGAGCCTGTGGGGTTGCTGGGTGGAATCATCCCGCAGCCCTTCGTGCTGTTTTATCACTTCTTTAGCGTGGCATTGCTGAGTATCTGGGTACTTGTGCACGAGAACGGCTTGCTTCTGTTTCCGGTCAGCGTGGTTCAGGGGGTGTTGGTCTTTTTGAAGGCGTGCGAGGTCATTTTCCCATATATTTTGGCGGAATTGAGGCGTTGATCGGAGGGCGGGAATAGAGATACAACAGGAATGACAACGACGTCACCAAGCAGACCGGAGGCGGGTTTCCGGAAACGATGCTCGCGAGACCGAGGGGAGAGGGGGAAGAGAAAGCCATGTACAGATATAGATAGATGGATGCTGATCAGCACAGTCGTGAATAAGACGAACAAGAGCAAGAAGGAGTGGAAGTTGAAGCCTTGGAAAGGAGGAGCACGCTGAATCCTTCCTTGTCTGGAGAAATGGAACGTCTTGTTCAGAGCGAGGGACATACACAGTACGCCGTATGGTGTATGTACATAATCTTCAGCCTTGTAGCGAGCAAATCATTCAACTACGGTATTTCCCTCATCAAGGGGCAGCATCATTTTCGTCATCATTCTCTTCCTCTCTTTCTTCTCCTTGACGAATTCATCGGGATCACATCTTCCCGCCCTTGGCCGTTTGTTGTTGCTCTCTCTTCTCTTTGACTTTGAACGCATTGATGGCGCCGACGATCAAGGCCCCGTCGTTGAAGCGCGTGGGCCATCGCTGCTTCATGCGGGCGACGAGATCGCGGGCGTTCGCAACCTGGCCGCCCTCGACCAACCCGTCAAAGTCCAGGATGTAGCGCCTCGTGCGCTCCAGGTGCCAGGTGCCGCACAGCTCGTACGGCTTGACGTGGCCCGGCACCACGACCTCGGGCCGCGGCGTCAGGGATTGGATGGTCTCGACGGCGCGCACCCATTCCATGCGCAGCGCGTGCGTGTTGGCCTCGCCGAGCATGCAGTGCACGTCGCCGTAGACGACGTCGCCGGCGGCCACGAGCCGGAGGTGCGGCACGAACAGCACCGTCGACGAGTGCGTGTCCGTGTGTCCGACCTCGACGGCCTGGAACTTGTAGCCCTCTGGATCGCTTGGCCTGTCTTTTTCCGATTCTCCCCCTTCGTCAGAGAAGGGCAGGTAGAACGCGCCCGACTCCGGCAGCGGCTCCGCGAGCCGGAACGCCGTGTCGATCTGGCCCGGGAAACGCGACGCCCACATGGTCTTGAACGCGGCCGGCGCGATCTGGCCCTCCATGTGCGCGATGGTGCCGCGCGTGGCTACGGCGCGCGCGCCCGGGAAGCGCTGTAGCAGCATGTTTAGCCCGAACCAGTGGTCGCCGTGGCCGTGCGTGATGTAGATGTACGCCAGCTTCGCGCCCGGTTGCAGCGTCTGCTCGATCCAGGCAATCAGCGCCGAGGTCTGCGACACCGTGATGGGCGTGTCGACCAGCACCGCGTGCGATGCCGTGTGGATCAAGGTGCACGCGATCGGCGACCAGGGCCCGCCTGGCTTGCCGCTGGGTGCGGTCCACGGGATTGAGGGAGAGACGTGCACCGAGGCGTAGAGTGGCATGGTGTTTTGGGATCGTGTGCCCCGTATACACAAGTGTGTGGTTGTGGTTGTGGTTGAGGGTTTTGTCTGAGAATGCGTGTGCTTACGTGTGCGACAGAGAGACCTGGCAGATGGATATTGAAAACAACAGGGCGAAGAACCGGCGTTGTGTGTTCAAGAAACACAAGACTACCGTGACCAGATACGAGGCTGGAGTGAGGGAGGAATGGAAGCGAGAGAAGAATATATCACCTTCCTTTCTTGCTTCCTTACCTGTAACCTGTTCCAACAGGCCGAATGAGACGAGAAAAGACGCATCTAACGGCAAATGGGGTAGATATAATAGCAGTAGCATTTCCATTTCCATGATGATGGGGAGAACAGAAGAGGAGCAGGGGAAGGAAATAATATTTGTATAGTAATCCGTCGACCGAGGGTGGAAGCTGATTGGACAAGGGGCAAACGCACGGTTGTGTAGCTGTAGCCAAGAGGGCGAGCAAGGGGTCCCAGCAGTCGAAGCCGAGAGATTGAAAAAAGCCAGGAGACTCTGGGGACTCATTCTGTCATGGAGACGGAAAGGACTAGGAGACCTGATGCTCCTTTTGTAAGCTGCCTGATTTCATTCGTCCTGCAAGAGGGTATCGCAGAATAAGTAATCGCCCCCTTGTCTTGTGCTCTTGGGATTCGAACAGGCGCCATCACCTCGGCCCATTATCTCTCTCTCACATGGTCGTCGCCCTCAGCCTCTCCAGAATATATTCCCCGGCCTTGACCGGCTGCCAGTTACTCGGTCCCACCACGCTTTCCGGCAACGGCACCACCTCGGCGTCGTAGTTGATGCTGAAGAAGAACGGCACCGAGTATCTCTCCCCAGTCCCCGGCACGCTCACGACGCGGTGGATGGTGGACTTGTACAGCCCGTTTGTCCAGCGCATGAGGAAGTCTGCCACGTTGACTGTCAATGTTCCCGGCCGGACGGGGCAGGGGAGCCAGACAGGCCGGTTGTTTGTGAGGGGTGAGGGCGGGAAGAGGATCTGCAGGCCCGGGTTGGACGAGGAGAGGAGCAGCGTGAAGCATTCGTAGTCGGTGTGTGCGCCGAGCCCGAGCTTGCTGCCTTGTTCCTCGTGGGTTGTCGTGGTTTCGTTCGTGCTGGCTTGCGCGTTGGTGGCGGAGTTCGCGACCGGCTGACCAGCGTAATATAACAACCTCGCAATCCCGCCTGGGTGGGTCATCAGTTCGTCAAAATAGCCCTCCTCGAGGCCCAGAGACATGGCAAAGAGGCGAAACAAATGTCTTGCCAGCTGGAGCACTTGGCCATAGTAGAGTTTGATGGCCTCGTAGAAGCCCGGGAGATCCTCCTCGGCAGGCCAAATGTTTCCCAGACCTGTCGATGCAGGCGATTGCCCGTCCAACTCGACATACTTCCCATCTCCGCCCGTCGGGTCTAGCTGTTCTTCATACCCCCAATTGAACCCCTCTTTCGTCTCGGGTTCAGGCTGCTGTTGAGAGGTCGAGGCGTCGCTTCCCCCCATGTCGTCGGGATTCACGTACGTGTAGTCGTGGGGCTCGTATCCTCGGAAGAGCGGAGAGTGCTTCATGTGCAGCTTGTCCTTCTTCTCCGGCGACAACTGGTGGAAGAAGCGCTCTGCCTGCTTCAACACCCCGACCATGGCTTGGGACGAGATGCCGTGGTTGCTGATCTGGAAGAATCCCGTCGTCACGCACGCTTCACGGATCTGCATTGCCACGGCCTTGCGCAGAGTGCTGTCGTCGGAGAAAGAAGGCCCAATGTCGATCAGAGGCACGGTCGGTAACGTCTCTGGTGCAGTCTTGGGTGGAGGGTTGGTGAGGGCCCCGGCCAGGCGAGTTCGAAGATGTTCTTGAGCTGCCGCAACTTCGTCAAGAATGCTGAGGCCCAAGGACTTTTCCGACAAAGGGTCTAGGAAGGCTTGCGGTGACATGACGGATGCGGCCATTGTGATATATCGCTCCGTTTATTTGCAGAGTACGACCAGGACCAGCGAGGGCGTGGTGATGGATGTGATGTTGTGAAGAACGATAGAGATGATTCAATCGGGTCGAGGAATCAAAGAATGAACAAGTTGTCCTTGTGCTGCTCAAGACACGAGATTCTTAGAATCGCACATCCAACTACAGTACTCGGTACTGCTCACCCTCGATTCACCATGCCCGAGCAGTGACGCGGTGGCGCACGATAAGGATAAGGATTTAGAGTAAGAAACAGAAATAAGAAATGCGACACACGGAGAGCGGAGTTTTCCGCCTGCAGGACAAGGCTGAACAGGTCAGGCATATCGAGATGTCTGACTAGGAAATAGGGGCGGCGTCGAGTCAGATGAAGCTCAGGCGCGGTTCTAGACAAATATAGCATGTTCAGCTTGTCTGGTGTTTCACACATATGCCTCTGCCTCTGCCGTCATGCAAATCCAGAATTAGTTGGACAGGGTGTCCTTGCTCGTCAAGGCCTCATAACACATTTATATCGTTGCGAAGAAACAGGAACCGGCGCGCTGTTGTAATACCAGCCCGAACATCCGGCACAGCTGCGGGCATGCCTCGCGGCAAGACAGGTTCCATCTCGTCTTTCCAGTATACCGGCTTCTCCATGGCGGCAGGCCACCAGTCAAACAGGAGAAACGCCTCGTCTGCGGTCCAAGGTCCTGTAGGCCCGTTGGAGCCCTCTTCGGTCAGCCCTCCCATCTGTTGGTTGTCTCTGTCCACTGCATTTGTCTCTGAGGCGCATCGCTGGAGTTTGCTTGGGCTCTCAGACTTGGCCGGACTCCTCGCCGCTAGGTTGCTTAGCACTGGCGAAGGGTTCCGTGGTTGAGGGACAGCATGGTCTGGTATCAGAGTTAATGTGCCGTTCCCCAGAGCATCATTTTCAGACATGACTCGTCGGAATGGACGTGTATCAAAGCCGTCGGGTCGTTCCGGTAACAGGAGGGGCTGGTTGGGACTTTGTGGATCGAGCTCCAAGGGAGGTTTTGGACGCAGGCACTGAGCATTGACCGCTGCTTGAACATCCACCTGAAGCTGCTGTGCGGGTACAGTCACCGGGTGAGCTGTGGCAGACGACGGGACATTAGATTTCGGTAGACTTTGACACGGCTCACTGTCGTCAGACCCGGGAAAGGGAAATTCCTCCTGGGTCGGAAGTGGTCTGGGAGAAGGTGAGTTCCGCGCAGACTTCTGCTCTGGTATGAACAGCGGGCTGGAATTGATGTTGTCGTCCTGGACCAGCTCACGTGCGCTCGACTGGCCGGAGTACGGAATCTGAATTGGTTGCCTACCGTCATCGAGATGGGCCCGGGCCGCGCGCTTCGATAACGACGCTTCTTCCTCACGAGGAGAGGATGTGCTGATACTCTTTCGAGGCGACAGTTGGCAGCAACCTTCCAGGGTTTGTGGCCTTGATGTACCTTTACAGAACGGAAGCAGACATGTCAGTCTGGGCCTTGGCTTCGGTTGGCCGATTAGCAGTCGTGAACGGTGAGCGACTGGCGGAGGGAACGCGTCCAAAGACTCGCCATTGGTGGATTTCTTCGGATTTCCAGGGGGGCTAGATCTCTTCAGTCTCTCTTTGCTCGGTTTCGCTTTATTGTAATCCACTTGAGGAAGAGCTGTTGGGCTCGGACATAACAGTTCAGGTCTAAACCATTGCTTGTCCGGGCTTCCCCTTTGATATTCACTAGGTACAGTTCCCAGCCTCGCCGGCTTTGTGGGCTGCCGTTTACTTGGAGGTTCTTCGTCTGACGACAATTCGATCAAGTCTTCGCATTCCGTTGGAGCTCCGCAGCAGCGAGCGGTTTGCGGAACGGTCTTACTTGGCTGCATGGGCTGAGGTAAGCGAGGCCTTGCAGATCTATCCGGGTGGTGGACATGATCGAAATGGTTCTCCTTGTCACGATCAAGTCGCAGTCGTTTTCGAGGCGATTCAACTGGGTCGACGCGACTGGATGACCATCTCTGTTCATAAGGAGAGTGCACGGGTAATCTTGCACGCCCGAGTCGACCTTGAGAAGGTCCCAGCACTTCTAGCAACGACTTGGGTCTTTGAGAGGGGCCGGTTGACAAAGGGCGATTTGCAAGGGCCGCTGCCTGTCGGGGTGGAAGAGCAGGCTTTTCTGGTCGTGATCTTTCGAGAATTGGGGCCAAGTCTGTTTGAGTCTCACCGAGACGCTCTCCGACTTCCACCATAACACCGCGGTCTAGCTGGATCTCAACGCCCTCTGCAAATTCCCCCTCTTGCCTATAGTGGAGGTCCCCAATGTAATTTTTCGCGTCGTCGTAGACCATGACGCGTCGGTTGAAGGTGTGGAAACGCAGAGAGCCATCGTGCCATTTCTTGGCCTTCTTGTGCAGGTCGCGCGTGTAGAGGCAGCGGAATTCATGAACGGGAGCGGTGTTCTGGGTGGGAGCAACGGTCAAGCTGGCAGAGTCGAACCCGCGGTGCGTGGAAGTGAGGCTGGCCATGATCACATTTCACTGCTGCACCTGGAAAGAATGGGAGGAGCCGAGGCTGAGGTGGTTGTCAGCGACATCCTGTCGGGGCCCGGCCAATGGAGAGGATGGCAGAAGCAGTATCGGTCATCAGTCAGTCAAGGAGCAGAGGGAGCAGCAGGAAGAGAATGTCTCGTTAGAGCATGTCATTGACGGATGGTGAGTGGATTTGAGGGTGGGATAGTGGGTGGGAAACGCGCGTCAACTGAGGCTGGAACTCGGGCGCAGGCTGCAGACTCCAGAGAGGAGGCTGCAGGGAGGCTAGGGCTAGTGAGCCTCAGACTTGGAACCCCCCGGTTGAATCCCCTCCCTATCCCATGCCCGCTTCTGCCCTCTAGCCCTGTCTCTCCTTAGCTAACCCTTAGGTATCATACACTGTATGCCTCCCGCCGTGCCTCCTTCCCTTCCCTGGCCGAATTTGCACCCCTACGTTTTGCTGCTTGACTTTATTTACCTCGTACTGTCCAACTAATTTTCTCGCATTCTCCTCGTGTACTTCACTCACATGAAAGAAAGGGTAAACTTTTTAGACTGCTGGCCAGTTAGCAATTTTAATACATTTCCTCTCCTTTCCCCCGCCGCCGTCTTTCGTTTCCTCCCAGCCTGACGAGCCTCCGCGCCGTTGATCGAATCCCTAACCTGGACACCCCCCCCAACCACCGGGAGAGCGACACTGGTGGCAGCGGCAACAGTCCTGTGCCACCAAGCAACCTGCGCTCTGCTCTTCTTGCGTGGGCTACGGTCTGACATCTGGAATCCACCTCCGCCTCCGCCGTTGTCTCGACATCCTCATTCTGGCCTCCTCACAAGACATTCCTCAGGCCACTGTGCTTGTGAAGGTCTTGCCCTTGCCCGATACCCAGCAAGCCAGCAGCCACCATGCACAGTGTCCAGCGGCATTTTGGCAAGTACATGAAAAGGTCTGCCGATGAACAACAGGTCTCGGTGTTGCTCAAGGACTTTGAAGAGGCGGATAAGTTGTTGACAAAGGTACGTACCCAACTATCCCGCCAAATCTCTTGACCTCCACCAACTGACTTCGATCCAGATCATTGAGGCCTCCAAAGCATGGCGAGAGTCTTGGACCTCCATCCTCACTCACCAACATCGGATATTCGACGAGTTCAGCCTCCTGTACGCTCCGATTGTGGGTGCCAGCGACGACTACCACGGCCATGTCCCAGTCCAGACGCCCGATCACATTGTCCGCAGGACCACGAGGATTAAGAGTGAGTACGAGGATCTGAAGAGAGATCTCACCGAGGACCTGGGTCAGGTCGAAGAGAGGCTCATCAGGCCTGCTCAAAATGCAAAGGACAGCTTGCACACCATGAAGAAGACGATCAAAAAGCGCGAGGACCGGAAACTCGATTTTGAACGGTACCAAAACAGGGTCGACTCCTATCTCAAAAAGACCAAGCGGTCGGAACGAGACAATGCGGCCCTCGTCAAGTCCCAGTCCGAGCTGGAAGCTGCCACCGAAGCATACCACGCCGCCGATGACAACTTGAGAGGCTGTCTTCCTCGACTCTTGACGTCGGTTTTCTCGCTGCTTCCCCACTTTCTGGCTGCTCAAATTCAGATCCAAAACAACTTGCTGGGGCATTATTACACCATGCTTCACACCTACTGTACGGAGGAAGGTTTCCCTTCTCCAGCTCCACCCATGGATGAAGTGATCCGATTGTGGAACGATGCCTTCAAACCCGTGCAACGCGAGGCTGAGTCGTTGGCTATCTTGGCCAATGGAAAAGCAGCGAGGACGTCGATGGAGAATGGTCAGCAACCGGCCAATGGGTATCGCCGTCCAAGTGCCTCAGCCTTCAGTGCCCACCGCCAACAGTCTGTCTCCCCGGCCAGGGCCCTTCCACCGTCCCCGTCTTTTGAGCCGAAAGTCAAGTTGTCATCCTCGCCAGCGGCGTCATCTGTGCTGGGTGCAGCCACTCCGCAGGAATTCATCGCCAGCCCATCGCCTTCACAGTCGGTCTATCAGACACCGATGGCCTATTCTCCAGCAGGGCCGAACACAGACTATTTCTCTCGTGATCGACAGCCCTCTGGTGTGTCGGCCGTGTCTGCTGCGACAGCGGCGTCGATTGCACAGAAGAAACGACCCCCGCCCCCTCCGCCGCCGAGGTTACCTTCGCAGCAAACCATTTTTGTAACAGCACTGTACGATTTTGACGGCCAAAGTGAAGGAGACCTGGCATTTCGAGAAGGCGATCGGATTCGAGTCCTCAAGAAAACTGAAAGTACCGATGATTGGTGGCAGGGGGAGCTCAGGGGCATGAAGGGACCATTTCCTGCAAACTACTGCCAATGAGACACCAGCCTAATGGGAACAAGTACGAGGAGCTTGATGCAAAAACTAGTTGAGAGGGCTTGGCTTTGATGTACTGTGATGCCTTTCCTTTCTGACGACATACAAGGGCCGGGATGGAGCTCAAAAGACAGGAAACAAGCCCATAATAATAGCAGCAAGTGAATCAACATAGAAGTGAGCGAGCTGGAAGTGAGCGAGCGAGCGCGCACAACATGATTTGAGCACAGGCAACCTGCACAGCATTGGAGCATAGCAGAGGGCGTGGGATAGGGCGTTGAGATTCCATTTTAAGGCAGAAAAGGTCATATACCCAACAATACGGAGTAATGGATTTGATCGGATGTGCCCAGCATTCCCATTCCCCATTCATGGTAGACCAGGGGTTAACACTAACTAGTAGACGGACTTCCAGCATGCCACTTCTTCAATTCGGCTTGGGCGGACTCTTGTTGATCATGTCATACAAGTACATACATAAAAACGGGGCACAGACTGATTGGTCGAATCAAAGCGGCGACGTGTGCTCAAATATCAAAGAAAATCCTTCGATGGATCTTGAGACTTATTTCGCCTTCACACATCCAGCCCTCACGGTTCCTAGAAAGAAAGAAAGAAAGAAGGAGAGAGAAAAAAAAAATGCCGTCGGAGGAGTCGCCAAACCCGACGAGACACAAGCCGGACATCGTGGTCAGCGGGCTCAACTACAAGTTCCCCGATGGAACGGCCGGGCTGCTCGACATCAACCTCGAACTGCCAGCGGGCTCGAGGACGCTGTTGATCGGGGCCAACGGGGCGGGCAAGACGACACTTCTCAGGCTGCTGTCGGGCAAGAAGCTGGCGCCCTCGCGCTCCATCTTCATCGCCGGCGTCGACCCCTTCGCCGCCGGGCTCGAGGGCGTCACTTATCTGGGGTTGGAATGGGTGCTCAACCCCATTGTGCGCACCGACATTGCCGTGCCCATCCTGCTGGACTCCGTCGGCGGGCTGCATTACCCCGAGCGGCGGGATGAGCTGGTGCGCATCCTGGACATCGATCTTCGATGGCGGAGTGAGTCTTCGGTCCATTTCTCTCTGTGTTTCTCTCTCCCCCGCCTCCTCTCCCTTCCATCGTTTGCACCATATTATTTCCTATTCCCTGTTTGATCCAGCGCAGTTCTGACAGAACCTCCTTGGCCCGGGGGGAAAAAGTGCACATGGTCTCGGACGGCGAAAGACGACGGGTGCAGCTGGCCATGGGCCTGATCCGACCCTGGGACGTGCTTCTGCTGGACGAGATCACGGTAGATTTGGATTTGCTGAGCCGGAGCAACTTCCTGAGCTGGCTGAGAGGCGAGACGGAGCGGCGGGGGGCCACGATCGTCTACGCGACGCACATCCTCGACAACCTGGTCGGCTGGCCCACGCACCTCGTGCACATGCACATGGGCCGCGTCAAGGAGTGGGGGCCCATGGCCAAGTACCACGCCGAGTTCGACCGTTACGACAACAGCGGCAACAGCAAGCTCGGCGAGCTGGTGCTCAAGTGGCTCAAGGAGGACCTGGCGGAGCGCGGGCCCAGATACCACGGCGGCCAGGCTAAGACGTACGAGAGCCACGACGGCAAGGGAGGGTACGGAGTCGAGAAACCGCTGGCGGCTGACGAGAAAGAAAAGGAGCGCGAAGCGAAAGATGACTGGGGGTGGAAATAAGTGCCAAACGCACCGTTCACCCCGTGAAGGTGAAAGTGGAGGGTCTGGGTTCTGTCCTCTCTCGAGCTATCTCTCGTCCGCTACTGCCCAAGGCCATTTTTGGAGCGTCCCTCCTACTTGTACATACATACAAGCTCTGATACCCCCGTCTGATCTTCAACAAAATCACCGAGCGCATCATCTCACTCTTGAAGGGGAGGACATCTGGGAGACGGGTGGCGGCAGGGGAGCCATTTTTGGTCTTAACACCATATGTATTTGAGGAATAGAAATGAGCTGGCTTGTATGGGTTCATATCTGGTATCTTTTACCTGTCCTCGTCTGGGCACCGCCCGGACAAGGCGTCGAGACAATGGGAACGGCAACGTTAGATGGCAGCCTTGTCGTCGCGATGTGTCCTTTCCGAACTTGTTCCTTCTCCCTTGTGACGGTGGCCAGCCGCCATCTGGCCTGTCTTGCTGCCTTCCCACTGCACCGGCGTCGATGCCTTGCTGAGGAAGGTACATCCTTCTGGTAGCTGGCTCGGAGACAGAATCAAATCATACCAGAATGAAGTGGGCTTCTTTGATACCCCTGGTGGTTTCCCCCCCTTTTCGTTTTCAAGAGAAAAAAAAGCGTGATACTCTGACAATCTCCAGACTTCCATTTGCTGAAGTCCATATCTCGTATATTTGGGCCAGTCACAGTCTGTTCCAGTTCCCCATCGGTCCTGGGGAAGTCCAGGTCGGGGAATGGGGGGGATTTGATCGTGTGCATTGTCCAACAGAGAGCGTGGTCAACTAGTTATATGCGTCCAAAAGAAGAGGTTGGGCATATCTTCCTGACAATCTAGGCACCGCTGCAGGGGACCATGGGGGACAAATTCTGGCCACACATTCCATCCCGACAAGGACGTTTGGAGAGTGGTGTGGCACCCAAGGGGCACCTGAGCCTATCCGCACAAAGTGCTTGCATAGTTCAGTCACGTGATTTCGCGCTCCCTTCGTGTTGAGGGGCCGCCACTGCGACGCGGGAGACGTGTCAGGCTCGACGCGGCCTAGGACTTCGTTGCATTGATAAGCTTCCCAGCAGCCTGCCCGTGAAGGGGGTGACGACCTGGCCGCCATGTTTGATACTGAAAAGGAGCCCTTGTTCCTGCTCTCAGGACGTCGTTCTCGACTTTCGCTCCTCAACCTGACCGATTCGATCGTCTTGTAGACCTGGAGTGATTCAATTCTCTTTTTTGAACGAATAGCCTCGGGGCGGCACTCACTCATTCGTAACGTGTTTCAGAATCCAATCCCATTTCCAATAACGCTCCTGCTTTTTGCGGCCATTGTTTTGTTTATTCTCAAAATGTCGGTCCTTTTTATATGGACCTTCTTCTCGGTGCTCGCCGCTGCCATGGTTGGTCCGCAACCCGAGTTCGATGCTTTCCTTCTGACAGGGACTTCAGGATCCACCCGTTGAGAGAGGGGACGACCCTATCTTCGGGCGAAGGCTCGCCGAAAATACAGTCTCTGATGGCCTTCACCGCTGGCACGCCGTGGGGGTTGCCACTGGGCTTCTGCTGGCGTCAATTGCTGGGTTAACAGTCAAGCACACCCATCATTGTAACGGCCAACACACTGCCAGCCGAGCGGGGGCCCATCAGACTTGGTCATTTTGGGTATCCATGATCTGCTTCCTCAGTTTCATGCCCTCAGCACATGTTGGGGACTTTTGGCAGGGGATGGTGGTCGCGCTGTGCCTCGCAAGTCTTGAGATGTTTCGACAGGCCCAGAACGAGTGGTTCGGCATCACAATGAACCTCGCTCGGCATACCCCTTCGCTAGTGGCATTCCTTATTGTCGTCTTCATCGGAATTCATGGGCCCGCTGCTGATGGCTCCTATATTTCACTCACGGGGATGTGGGGACCACCAGCGTTCTGGTTGAGCCTGTCATTTCTACCCCAGTTGATGAGCGATGATCGAGGCCGTATGCCCACCTCTGGGACAGCGCATACGCTGTAACGGAAGCATCCGACCAGCAATAATTCACCCATGCCTCATTTTGGAAATTCTTTTTTGGGAACGAACTCGGACACGCCACTCCCCTTTCACCCCTCATTCTCGGCTGCATCTTGCCCAATGCGGTCTCCTGGCATGATCAGGTTGAAACACAAAGGAAGAAGGTTCCTATCGGCATCTGGACACGTTTGTTCAATGTGGATATAAGATCTGTACAACACATAATGTGCAAAAGGAGCCAGGCGGTATATCGCTTAGGACGAATCATATGGAAAGATCTGAGTCGATTGGTGCGAGTTGGACCAGCGAGGTCATAAAAGTTGACAATGGACCAGGTGTCAGGATATACGTTTGAGCTCTGTCTTGTCTCCCTGGAGGATGGATAGTACGCCCGGAAATCGGAAGAAAGGATCCAACATGTCGGCTAGAAATGATCTCATGGTTAATGCCACTATCTTGACCATTTCTTCTCCTCTGACCAGCCAACCACATTGAGTAGCGGGAGGCCGACCTCACATTTGATTCTGGCTGCTCTTCTGCCGGTAGAACCTAGCCTCGGGCCACCCGGATCCCAATCACGCTGTCTTGGAGGGAAGGATTTCTTCGGTTTTCACCGCCCTTCTTCACCACGCATACCAGGGGGCACCAAGAAAATGAACTCTCTGGAGGAGTCCACTCGAGAATTTCGACTCCCGTCACGTCATTGATTTGCCAATGTCTGCCAGGTTTATCCTCAGTATCCGCACTGTTCCGTCAGCCGAGGCCACTGCTAATTGGCCTTGTTCTTTCTGATCACCTCCCTCATCGTTAGTGGTTGGTCGCCAAGCGAGTCGATTGACGGTCTTCGAGGGACAGAGGTGTCTGGGGACCTCAACGTTTCGCAATATCTTGAGGTCGCTGTTTACGTCGATAGTATGCAGCGAGATGCAGCCGTCATCCTCGCCCACGGCGAGCACGCCACTCATCCCGCAGGAGGTGGAGGAGACTGCTGTCACGGGGGATTTTCGCGCGATCGAAGATCGCATGGTGAAGGTGTTCTTGTTCTCGCTGTCGTTGGGATCCCGTGACCATAGCTTGATAAGCTTGTCCCTGCCAGCGGTGGCGAAGCTCGGATTCGTGTCGGTAGTACTTGTGAACCACGTAGCGTCGAGAATCATCCTCGTGTGCGCCTTTGCATTTACGGCGACGCGGGCCCAGCTCTTGGAACCGTCGCTTGATCTCCTGAACACTGCCCACTGCCGATCTCGTCCTACACTCAGCAGGTATCCCGCATTCTGTGAGAAGAACGCAAGCCTCGTGACGGTCAGGGAATGCGCCGACAGGGGCGGTTTGATCTCGTTCCAGTTCTTGGTGTCGTACAGACGGATCACCGCGTGGTCGAGGGAACTCGCCTTGCATGCTGTGGCGAGAACACTGCCGTCCGGGGCCGTCGCTGCCTCAGAGATTTCCGAACCGTGGCCGTATAGTTTCTCGTGCTCAGGCCAGAGAGTGTGGCGCGCTAGCAGGTCCTCCGTCGGTGGTTCTTGGATGTCAAGCAGTGAAATCCCGAGTCCGGTTGGCATAGGGGTCGAACTAAGGGCCTCATTCGCAGTACCGTCTTCAGTCTCCTCACTATCCTCCATGGCCTTGTTCGACAGGCCCAGCACAGGGATGGCAGCGGTGTCAGGCATGTGGGCTAGTTCCGGAGGCAATGGAATCTCGCACAGTCGATGAAGCATGCTCGCGATATCCTTTGGTTCATTGAACACGCGCAACAGCTTCTCGTCTGCACCCGAAGAGAACTGATACGGCGTCGTACTCGCGATGCAATTGAGGTCGTATCCGTGAATCTGAGGCCGCGAGAACTCATGCCAGCTCCGCTGCTGACCTCTCTTCCATTCTGCATGAAGCCTGGTCGTCTGGTCGGAACTTGTGGAGAGAAGGTAGCTCCCGTCCGGGGCCCAACAGATGCCGTTGACGGAGTTGGTGTGGCCGCTGATGCCAAACCTCTGTGTCCAAAACTGTGAGGCCTTGTCATACTGCCACAGTCGCCAGCTGCCCGTGCGGCCGAGACAAGCGACAGTCTTGCCGTCAGGACCCCATAATCCCGTCCAGAACCCCCCTGCTGAACCTGTCGCAGTGGTGGCCCCTTTTGCCCCACTAATCTCTCCCAAGCGAGACATACTGATCCATATTCCCGACGACGGGTCCGGTTCCCATATCGAAAGAGAACCGTCGGCTGAGGCGGTGAGGAGCTGTGAGCTAGTGGGACTCCACGCCGCCGAATAGATCCAATCTTCGTGGCCGACAAGTAGTGCCTCGAATGTAATAGAGTATTTGTACTCCCCAGCCGACACTGTCTGGACCTTTGCTGACAGGGTTCCGCTGACAGCAGGTACTCCGTTCAGCTCGGCGGGTTGCTTTGTGGGTTTGCTGTCTCTCAGTTGAAAGCACCAGATGCGGACATACTTGTCCTGGCTCGCAGAAGCTAGCAGGGCACCTCCATCTGGAACTTGTGTAAGTGCCAGAGATCGCACCCATGCTTCGTGTCCAGTTAGAGTGGCGCAATGCTGGAACACTGGGGCCGATAATAGACCTTCGATGGCGTACACTTGGATATCGTTCCGAGTGCCTCCGGCGACCAAGTAAGCATGGTCGGGAGGAGATGTGGATGGAAAGGGGTTGACAGCGAGAGCCAGCGGAATGAATCTGGGTTTGAGGGCGAGTGTAGCCAAGGCTCGGATTTCTGTTTCATAAACTTTCCAGAGTTTCACATTCGCGTCGGCTCCTCCGGTCACCAGGATGTTGCTTTGACTTAAACAGGTGATGGCGTTGACAGCGCCCTCATGGGCCATTGTCTTAACGAGGCGTACCCATTGCTGGTTTGGAGTGTCTTGTCTCCATACCGCGATCTCTCCATTTGCACTGCCCGAGGCCAACAGCTCAGTAGATCCATCCCGGGCTTTGCTCAGAAATTTCACACTTGTCACTTTCCCTGTGTGTCCGGAGAGCAAGGCGGATATGCCGTGTCCAGAGTCATTCACCGGCGACCATATCCCCACATTCTGATCGGCGCCGAAGGCGAGGATGTCTGAGATTCTCGACCAGTCGGCTGCTGCGCTGTGTCTGTTTCCGCCGACGCTGAAGTACTCGCCTTGAACGAGAGGAGAAGACATTGATCGAGAAGACCGGAGCGGAGGAAGGCAGAAATTGAGGTTGATCAATATGGAAAACGACGCCAAGAGGTTGAAAATTCCCAGGCAGGTTCAGCCTTGTTTAGGAAAAAGAGTGACGCCGCCCTAAGTTCAGTGAGCCCCTGGGACATGGGCTTCGGACGGCAGAGAGAAACGTGCAGGTTCATGAGGGAACCCATCTGATTACCGCGGGACGTGGACATGGCTACGACTTTCGAGAGGGAGTTCAAGGCGCAATTAGAACAATACATGGTATCCCGTGTACGAAAGGGTATAGACGACAGGAGCTCTATAGACGATCTCGAGGAAATCGTCCTCGCTCAGCAAAAGGAGTCAGTCGTTGAGCAAGACTGCAGAATACTTCGAGCATGGCACCGGTCAAGGTGAGCGGCGAGCACTTCAAAGATAGCGCATCACGTCCGCCACATATCGCCCATCTCAAGAGTCGCGTAAAGACCGCAAACTGGACTACGGTAGGCGAGGAAATTGGCTTCGCGTACTGAATACTCCGCCTTCGAACATAAGAGACTCGTCAGTGTCGGCAATCCTCCCCAACACGTTGGACTATATTCCTCTAGGAATATTCGAGACTTGTTCTTGACCGTGGGAATCGACCTCGGAGCGCTGGTGCCTCGGGAAGCTAATTCTGCGCTATAGAATCGTGCTCTGTATCTTCCGTGACTTCCAACAGGATAATTGGGAGTTCGTCTCGACTCTATTGATTCATTTGATGAGAAGGAGACCTTTGTCTTTGCTCAGTTCGGGGAGTTCTACCCCTTTCAAACGTCGAGCAAGAACTGGAATCTTTGCAGCAAAGCTCTTTTACACGCCGATCAAACAAACGATGCCGACCCCAACACTTGACGGCATGGGCTGGCAAGATAGTGGATTCGTCCTTGTCTTGGAAATCCGAATAGATGGATTGCCAGGCGCATTCCACACGATACACAATCTCACCTTCCACAACGACTGGGAAGGGTTGACTGACGACGAAGTATACGGCGATCCCGACGTCTTGACGCTCTTCGAGAGCGGGCCGTGATTGACCGTGGTGCAAGTGGAAGGCCAAGGTCTTGATCTGCTAAGTTCCTCGCGGGACAAAATACGAGAGGAAAACAAACAGATCCGATTGACGGGGCTCTCAGATCGTATATACCCCAGATTATGGAACAGGCTGGAAATTCGACGGCGGCGGCGAGAGATCAGTCGGTCTATTTCGAGATCTGAAAAGGACGGGGTGAAGGCAAAAGCAGCATTTTGGGCCTCTTCAAACCCGTATTTTGCGACCCTATGTCAACTTGCAGGGTTCATCGTGGCATTCATGACAACCATTACTGGCCTTTCGCACGCCATCAAGTCGCAAAGTGTGTCAATCGACAATATGTTCGGCGTCGTCCAATAAAGATCGAAAGGCTCGGAGGCTTACCACTTAAGGTCTCACCAGCCTTCTCTAGACCGGTATTTACCTGCAACGACGCATATCACACTCATGAATCATAGGTCGCTATATCTGCAGTACGAAAGCTCAATGCTTGACGCTTAGTTTCGGTCGATATGAAGACAGAGCTGAGTAGTAGGCATCTCCCCATTATATCAAGGCATTACGAAACCGGAAAAAGACGTCTAATAAATCCCGCCGACCATTTTGATGATGTCGATTTCTACACGGAGTCGACTTATTTTGCGGACGCACATCTGGGATAGAATTCCAGCATGTAGGGGTTGCTAACTAGTTGGACTCGGTAGCTTATGAGAGAAGCTTGTTGATCCGGTTTCTGGTGTCTAGAGCCTCGACAAATTCCTCCAAGTTTTCAGTGTCCAGCACCGTTGTTGCCTTGCTACTCCCTTCCGGGAACAAAATTCATATATCTATCAGTACTCGTTCAATGGAACTGCCAATGCATCAATGTTCCCCGTGGAAAGCACGTTTCCGGGATGGAAGGTATTCACCACAAAACAAGGCGAAGAGCATTGGCGCGGCGTCAAAGACATACACGCACCACTCGTGGTTGTTAATGTATGTGTTCAAGCTACTGCCTGAACCGGAAGCGAACTCGACGATGAGGGTCAAGATGTGGTACTATGCGGCAGTCTTAGTCGTTGACTCGAACATGTCCAAGAATCATGATGATACATACCGTGATTAAGAGCAATGAGATCTGCACAGCGTAGATTCGTGTTTTGGCGGCCTTGGAAATTCGGCAACGAGGCATGACCCAATCAATCTTCTGCGTCGTCCGCACGGTCAAGGCAAGGAAGAAGACAATCAATGCTTGCTGGAATACCACGCCAAAGTCCACTGTGTGCACCCCTGTCTTGGCCGTGTTCGGTTTGCTGCTGTAAGTCAAGAGGCCGCCACCGATCTGGGCGACGAATGATCTGAAGATGAAAAGTCAGCCGGAGGCTGTGCTCATTGCCTTTGCAAAATGGAGGTTCCCCAACATTATATCACAGCAGACAAAGATCTTTTCCATGACGCTGCCTCCCAGGCCAAAGACCTTGGTCTTCGGCAGGAAACATCTGACCAGTCGAGAGATAATCATGTAATCAAAGGCGTTGACAAAGATCGGTGCCAGGAGAACCAGCAGGACGATGCATCATATGGTCCCTTGTCGGTAGGGTTTCTAGCCGACTGGAATTGGAAAGCAAAGGAAGCCGTCTCCATAATCACACCGATGATGATAACCAGACAGAAGAGTTGTCGGTGGTGGAAGGCTTGGTATACGTGTGCGACCGTCGTAGCAAGGAGGGGGCCGGTAAAAATCAGCGCCGCGGCGACAGAGGGGCAGTATGGCTAAAGGTTCGAAGGGTTGTTCAGAGGTAAGGGAGTTTTACTGGTTTAGTTAAGCGTGCAAGATCGGTTGCGAGCTGATCACTACTTACGGAGGCATTTGGGGGACACTATCTCGAAAGGACTTGGTACACTGCAGAGAGTCTAGGAGGCTGGCAGGTGTGGGAGTTAGGTAGGTAGGTAGGTAGGTAGGTAGGGAGGCAGCCATGCGTTTACTGATATAGCTGTTGTTAAGATCAAAGAGAAGTCCATGATTCCCAGCATAGGTGAGGTTCTTCTATATGGAAGAGCTGTTTTCCTTTCCCTCTTCTGAAACACGGCCACGGCCACAACTGGGCCATTGGAAGGAAGCGACGTCAGCCTCTTGTCTGCCCTATCAACCAATGAACGAGTGGATAAGTAAGTGAGTTAGTGAGTTAGTGAGCAACAACCAGTAAAGGCTGAGCAAAGAAACCTCAAACCCGTCAGAGAAGATGCCCACGCAAGCGCCCGGGTAGGTCCAGGTCCATCATGTCACAGCAGGCGCACAGCAACCACATAGATAGGCAGGTAGGCTGTGCAACAACAAAAAGCAGAAAGGGAGGAAGAAGCCAGCCTGTTGAGGAACCCCCCCCCCCCCCCCCCCC